GAGTTCAAACGTGTGCTCATCCGATCTCCCCAAAACCCCAAAACCCCAAAACCCCTTTTTTTATTTCCTTGATGAAATAATTATTTTAGGAGTTACTTCATATTATGCCAGGCAAGAAGTCTCCCAAGAAGGGAGGGAAAGGAAAGACAACTAAGAAAGCACCTAAGAAAGAACCTGTAATAACTGCTGAGGAGACCAAAGACGACAAGCGTTACGAGGACTTGATTAATATACCTAAGCATGGCTGGATCAAAGTAGAAGTAAGCCTCTTTGCATACTTTCCATGATTGTGGTTCGCTTTTAACTCTGGTTTATTATAGATGAGGCTGGTAATTCTCAAACCTTTTTTAACCCACTAGGTCGGCAATCTTATTCAGAGTTATAAGGTCTTCATGCTCAATTTTAAGACAAATGAATGAGTTAGTAAAGTGTACAGGTAGGCTTTACAAATTTAGGAGTTTCATTTCTTTAGGAAAATTATCTCAAGACATGGCAGGTAAGATCGAGACCATTATGAAATCATGACTATCCATCCAATAGAGTGAAGAACATAAAAATATATACAGAAGAACCCCCTCAGGAGGGTGATACTAACACTGAAGGAGAGCTCTTGTCTATGCCTCCAGAGTAAGTTTCAATATTTCTGGTTGAAATTGTTCACTTGATTTTCTGAGAAGTATTTACATCCATAGAGATATAATTATTCCCTCTCAACTTAATGAAATTGGGCTATAAATAAAGATTTACTCCTGTGGGATGAGAATATGCTTCTATTTGAACTACAATTCTGCCCACTAATTTCCTCTTATATAGACTAACAGATAAAATGCAGCAGTTGCATGAAGTCTTTGGGTCATTTGGAGAAGAAGTCAAAGCAGACGCACCTGAGTTTACTCTCCACTATGATTTTCAGCCATTTGATAGTGATGAGCCCTTATTATTCGCCCTTGGGGTATACTCACCCGAAAAAGAGTAATGTTCAATTAAGGACTATTTTTTGGGGTTTTGGGGTTTTGGGGTTTTGGGGTTTTGGGG